AGATACTTTGTATCTATTATTTAGTTTATTTTAGTTGTTTGAGGAAAGCTGAGTATGTAAAGTAGAACTCAAACAAAGGTCTCCTGTGTTCCCTTAAAATGGAATTCAACTTTTAGATTTTTTTCTTGGTAAAAATTGGGTGATTCAAATTCAGGTGATTGTTGTGAATGAGTTTCTGTGCAAATAATGGATTTTATTTCTATTGCGTGATTATATGAATAGCAGTATTTCCATCTTTAGAAATAGCTGGTTTTTCCTAGCTGGTAGATTAATTGTGGGTTGCTGACTTTACATATTTTAAAGCCCACATCCTTTTGGGGTTTACAGATGGGGAAAAGTTAGAATTAACTTGTAAGATTGTGGCTTCACATTGCCAAAAATGAAAGGTTGGTTCAAATAATCTTCCAGTAGAAAAGTCAGGCAAATCATTTCCTCAATATCTTTTGAAATGATGTTATATGGAGGTTTTCCTGGTTCGATGTAGCCTTCCCATTGCTTTTGAATAAACACTCTAGAAATAAAAACAGTGATTTGTTAGCTTGTTAAAGAAAAAATTATTTTTGATGGTAAAGTCTATCCTATTGACCTCAAAAGTTATGTCTTTTTTTTTTTTTTTAATCACTAGCTGTTGGTAGTTCTTCAACTTAACAAAATTACAATCCTCTTTGAAAAAAGTTTCTCATTATTCTCTGGAAAAAATGCAAGTGTGTAAATAATTGGAAAAATTTTTAAATAATTTTTGAAGGTTCACAAAGTGCATCTAAGTGAATGTCAGGATTCCATAAGAGCAGAGTTTCCATTTTAAACATATAAAATAATAGCAGTGAAAATTAGTGTTAGAGCAAAACTGACATTTTGTCATGCACTTGCATTCATCTAACATGTACTTATTGAGCACCTAAGGTCAGGTTTCTGGAGTGAAGGAGGTGGAGAGGAGACGGAGCTGAAAGGCTTATATTCTGGGAGATGATTGTTAAAGTGAAACACAGTGGTCTTGACCCTCTGGATTAATTCTCTCTGGTGCTTGTAAATCTAACTGGTCATTTTCTTCAGAAACCAGAGAAGATTTTGATTAATTGACCTGACAGTGCATGGCACATCATATTTACTTGGGAGAATTTAATAACCCTAGAGACTCCCAAAGGAAACATGAAAATTTCCACATACTGTTATCCTAATGGGATCACAGTAAGAGAATGTGCAAGCAAAGATTTAAGGCTCTCCAAGGCAGAGAAAGCTTTTGGTCACTCCTGAAACTCTGTTGGGTTTTTCACCTGAATTCACTTTGGAGAGACAGGTAAGGGCATCAGAAACTGGAAACATGTAAGGAAAACATTTTGTGGAAGTACATTTTGATCATAAGGGAATAAGTAATTCATTTCCTTGGAAGCAAATTGTTTATAATTTAAATATACATATATGTGTGTGTGTGTGTGAGAGAGAGAGAGAGAGAGAGAGACTTTCGGTAAATTATGGCAAGAAGTATTTGATATACTTGGGAATTTAGAGAGGGAAGAAGTATTAATATAGAATATTCCATAGAGGTATTCCTCCAAGTACTGTACATCAATAGCATCAATAGCATCAGCACATGTGTCAGAAAACAAATTAATGCAAATTCTCCAAGTATACCCCAGGTCTACTGAATCTGAAACCGTGGAGAGGGGTGCCAATCTATGTTTTACCAAGGGCTGTGGACAAGTCTGATGCTCCTGAAATGAAGTTGGCAACTATGCACAAATGATTGCTAGTTTCATTTGGCTCACATTCCTCAGACATACAAACAGGTTTAATACTCCCTACAAGTTTTCAGAGTGCATTTAGATGTGTTTGCTGCTCCTCCACTCTTATGGTCTGTCAATGATAGCACTCTAGCCCTCTGGTCTCTGTCCTGATATGGGGTTTCTGGAGCCCTGGTCTGATTGACAGGTTTTAAGTTTGTAATGCAAGGCATGGCATATTTCTTAGCAGGTTAACAATTCTTTAAAATATCTCCATAGTTAAGGGCGGGCATTTGGCTTAGTGGTAATGACATGTCAGTGTCTGGGTTTAGTTCTTGGCTCTGGCTCCAGATTCCAGCTTCCCGCTAAAGCAGACTCAGGGACAACAGGTGATGGCTCAAGTGATTGTATCCCTGCCACTCACATGGAAAACTTGAATTGAGTTCCCAGCTTTCAGCTTCCATCTGGCTCAGTCCTGGCTTTTGTGGACATTTGGGGGGTGAACCAGTGGACGAGAGTGCTTGTGTTTCTCTCTCTCTCTCTCTCTTCCCCTCTTCATCTCTCCATCTCTCTCTCCCCCTGAATTTCAAATAAAAAATAAAGTATTCTCTTATTTAAAGTCTGTTTTTCTTTGTTTAATACTAAAGACCATTTATACTGAATTAACATAACTGAAAAGCTAAGCACAATATTGAATACACAGTAGATGAATTGTATATTATAATTTTCTTTTGTTCTTATGTGCAAGTGTTTGTTGTTAGGTACAGTTTCTTTTTATTTATTTATTTATTTTGAAAGGCAGATTTACAGAGAAATGGAGTTACAGAGAGAGGTATCTTCCATTCACTGGGTCACTCCCTAGATAGCCACGGTGGCTAGGGCTGGGCTAGGCCAAAGCCAGGAGATTGGAACTTCATCTGTTCTCCCATCTGCATGCAAGGGCCACGTACTTGAGACATCTGCTGCTGCTTTCCCAAGACTATTAGTAGGGAGCTGGATTGGAAGTGGAACAGCTGGGATTTGACTAGTGATCATATGGGATGCTCTCATCACAGGTGGTGGCATAACCTATTGTGTCACAACACCAGGCCCCATATTTTCTTTTCTTAAATTTTTTTATTAATATAAAGAGGATAGATTTCATGTACTTTATAGGTGCATATCTTCTTTAATTTGTCATTTATACTACTAATTTGCTCTATTGCCTCCTTGTTTGACAGTGTTTAAATGTGAATAAGATGTAATAACATTAAACTATTAGAAAACAAAATATTTTTTATGAAATAATTTTGATACATACCTTTTTGGGCAGCTAATAACTTATACAGAGGTAGAATAAAATTTTACATTCCTGTAGAGAAAAGTTAAGTCTGAGTGTAAGATAAGATAGACATATAGGACATATTGCATTTCTTCTAGTGCCACCTGCATTTCCTCCAAGTCCTACCCAACCAGAGGGTACAGATAAGTTACCTTGACATTGACATTAATAATGTACAGTTTTCCAGCTCTTCTTCCCTGTTTGGTGATCACACATGCCGGCCACTTCTCTAAAGGGTCCCCAGGAATTTGGTGGGGGGTTCAGAGTGCATTTAGAGGTGCTTGCTGCTCCTCCACCCTTTCGTTCTGACAATGATAGCTCTCTAGCCCTCTGGCCTCTGTCCTGGTATGGGGTCGCTGGAGCTTTGATCCAATGCATTCTCAAACCACGTAACTCTGCATAGGCCAACAGGTGCTCTATTACTGGCACAACTCACCTGGTTGTGGGAGCCCACACATATTCCTAGTGGCAACAAGTGGAATCCTGCTCCATCCCTGTTCCCCTCAAGTTCTGTTCTGAAAATGTTGCTACTTGTGCCCCAGCTTTGCCAGTCTGACTCTTCCTGTAAGGATTCAGGGATCTGACTGCAGCAGACACCATATCGCATCATTAACACAATTTCTGCCTCATCTCTCAGCTCCTCTTCTCTTTCCTAGGCACTTTCATGCTACGTTTTGGAGATCCTTTCCTCAGGTGAACAGGTGTAAATACAAGTTTTGTTGGGAGGGGCGGCAGCAGGGCCAGCTTCAGCGGCATTCATCCTATGCAGCACTCCAGAGCCCCATGCTGGGAAGGGACCCAGGCCTGAACCAATGCTCTGTTGTTGGTGTCTTGGAATTCCTAATAATTTATGGACAAGGTCTTCACTTATTATTATTATTATTATTTTCACAAGGCTCCTAAAAACAAATGAGCTGTCCTGGACAGTAGTCCATCCACTTAGCAGAGACCCAGAATCTGAAGTTCAATTTAGGGCCAGTTCATTAGACAATGGCCTCTTCTTTTTGGTTCAGTTCTTGAGGTGTACGCTAATAATGTATAAATTCCTTAAAGTATTTCCAAATGTCTGGTAGATAAGATTAAATCTAAGAATGATTTTTCCAATAGAAGCAGTAGAATCTACAAATATATAGGAATGCTACATTAAGTTACCATTATTGGCCCTTAAATTTGAGTTCAATTTTGAAATATATTTTTTAAATATGTATTTTTTTTGACAGACAGAGTGGACAGTGAGAGAAAGGCAGAGAGAAAGGTCTTCCTTTGCCATTGCTTCACCCTCCAATGGCTGCTGCGGCCGGCATGCTGCGGCCAGTGCACCGCGCTGATCCGAAGGCAGGAGCCAGGTGCTTCTCCTAGTCTCCCATGGGGTGCAGGGCCCAAGCACTTGGGCCATCCTCCACTGTACTCCCGGGCCACAGCAGAGAGCTGGCCTGGAAGAGGGGCAACCGGGACAGAATCCGGCGCCCCGACCAGGACTAGAACCTGGTGTGCCAGCGCCGCTAGGCGGAGGATTAACCTGTTGAGCTGCGGCGCCGGCCTAAAATATGTATTTTCAATATCTGTTGACAGATTTCCCAATATAAAGGCTGATGAAAATCTATAGGGAACCAAATTAAATGTGACTCACTCATTAGACATGAATGGAGTACCCATTTAAGCACTAAGTCTAGGCCATAAGAATGTAATAAGGCCTGTCCCGGTTTCTGAAGTTCTCATAATTGGTCTAGAATGACATATTTCCATTGCAAACACTTCTGTCTGGGGAGAAAGGAGAGATAGATATAAGGTAGTAGAGGAAATTAAATATCATTTGATTATTAGGTACTACTTGGAAGGGCTTGGTGTCCACAGTAAAATATAGAAAATGAATTTCAGACTGAGATTTGAATCATTATGATTTGGTCAGTGTTGTTTTTTGATGCACATTTTATCCATTTTTTTCTCTGTGCTTTTAGCCTCAGCACCTCAATCAGATGAAGGATCTGACATTGACTCTGAACCAGACTTACCACTAAAGAGGAAACAGCGCAGGAGCCGAACCACCTTCACGGCAGAACAGCTTGAAGAACTGGAGCGTGCTTTCGAGAGAACCCACTACCCTGATATTTATACCAGGGAGGAGCTGGCTCAGAGGGCAAAGCTTACTGAGGCCCGAGTACAGGTACTGCTCTCCAGACATTCACATCCTACTTAAATCCAGATAGGAACCAAAGCCATCTTCCCCTCTGACACATATTTTAAACCAAGAAAATAAGTATATGAAGAATGGCATTTCATGTGGACCCACATCTTTGGAGTTTGGTTACTATTAATAAGAGAATGTGGCTATATCATTTAAGACTCTTAGAAATATGTTATTTCATGTTCCTCATCATTTTAGGAATGCTTATTGTGCACTAGGCACTACATGCATGGACTTTGGGGGTGAACACAGGTAACAGCCATCATATTTTGAGTAGTTACTCTGCAAGGTACTCTTTTAAGTGCTGTACATGAATGAACCCATTGCATCACTACCAAACCCTTAGGTTGGATCTATGACTAACCCCATTTTATAGATGAAGACACTGAGACTAAGACTATGTAAGATAAACACCCACAGTCATCTAGCTGTATAGTTAGTATAGAGGTTCCATATGCTTCCTCTTTGTGGCCTTTCCATTAGGAAAATATTCAAAAGTATATCATATAAAGTTCCTTCCTTTAAGGATTTTATGGTCTAGAAATACTTCAAGTATTCATGTTATTTGGAGAAATAACATCTTTTAATTATCTTTTGAACTCTTGAAATTGCTCTCTAAACCTTTTGGAAAAGGCTTCTTACATGGAACAGGTTTCTATTGAGTATAGAATAGTGTTTTAATCATTAATGATGACTTTCCCCTTAAGCTGGTAAAGCAGTGTTTTAAAGAATACAAATGTCTTAGTGTATTTTGGAACTTGTTACTGCCCCAGAAGTTAAATTACTTTATCTGGAAAAGTTGTGCGTTATTCCTGGATACTTGACTTTTATAGTCAAAGTCAGGCTAGAGATGCAGGAGTGAACAAACAGTTGACATGGTCCCTACACTGACCAATGCTCTCACATATGTGGAGCGTTAACTCTCCTATTAAGGATATTTACAGAAACAGCCTCTTCTAGGCTGCAAAGCCTTGTCAGAGCAGTTGTTTTATTTAACTTTCCATATGATCATCATAGTGCCAGGAAAGTTGAGGAAAACTAATATGAATTAAGATATTTCCTCTCAAGAAACTGCCATCTAATAGGGGCAACAAAGTAAAATAAAAATAATTTAAAAGCAAAGCATATGTGTTGTGTGTTGAAAGAGGGAGAAGAAAGTGCAATTGAATTGAGAAGAAGAAAGAATGAGATATTGGAGAAAATTAAATGTGCATAAAGTAGACAGATTTGTGGTGGGCTTTCTTGGCTAGGTGGATATCCATTGGGCAGGAAGGGTGAGGAGACTACAGTGGTAATACAAAATTATATGACTAAGACACAGATTTTGGCCGGTGCCGTGGCTCAATAGGCTAATCCTCCGCCTTGTGGCGCCGGCACACCAGGTTCTAGTCCCGGTCGGGGCACCCGATTCTGTCCCGGTTGCCCCTCTTCCAGGCCAGCTCTCTGCTATGGCCCGGGAGTGCAGTGGAGGATGGCCCAAGTGCTTGGGCCCTGCACCCGCATGGGAGACCAGGAAAAGCACCTGGCTCCTGGCTTCGGATCAGCGCGATGCGCCCGCTGCACCCATTGGAGGGTGAACCAACGGCAAAAGGAAGACCTTTCTCTCTCTGTCTCTCTCTCTCACTGTCCACTCTGCCTGTCAAAAAAAAAAAAAAAAAAAAGACAGATTTTGAAGTGTGTGGGTTACATATAAGATGACCTTTCATTTTTACTGTAGTTGTATAAAGGAAGAATGATTGTCGAATTTGATTAGAGTATATGGAGTTGTGGAGTGGTGGAAGGAATATGATTGGGTAGCTAGGTTGAGGACATCTCGTGGAAGGATAACGTTTCAGGTTCAAGAGCTCACTTGATGTGACAGGCAGTGGGGGCTATGTCATGGACTAGGTAGTGGCAGTGGGAGTAGCTATGAACTGTGCAGTGGGGAACACGCTCTTTACCCAGTGAAGTGGCTAGAATTCAACATTACATATGAGTGTTATAAAATATGTATGTGTCAAATCTATTTTGCTTTCATCATTGTTCTGTGATTACTTGGTTTAAATGTGAATCAAAGTCCAATCATTTGTCTATTGAGTGTCCACCATATTCCAGGATTGGTTTCTGCACTGTGTGGCTGGCCAAACTCCCATGTTGGGGCTGCTCTTTAGATCAAATGTTAGCCCTGAACTCAGGTTGAGTAAAAAAGTAAACATTTATTTTAAAGAGATCAGACAAAGAGGAGAATGGAAAACTGAACAGAGAGTTCTGTGCTGCTATCCCTCATTTCTGCCTTTGTCAAAAAAGAGGATGGGGCAGAATAAATTCCAAGCTCATGTAGCGTGTATAGTATTCAAGGATAATAATAATGGCTCATTAACTTTCAGAGGACATGGGATCAAACCAATAAAGAGTGGTTCATATTTTTCTATGCAGTGACCTCCTCTCCCAAACAGGGCCCTCATTAACGTAACAGCTGTCTTAATGTGGCTTTAACCCGGTGACTCTTTACATTCCTTATGGCTTCCTTAGTTCCCTTGAGACACATCATGTCTTGCTCCACAGCTATGATCTACAGCCTAACAAATTCCCTAGAACACCCAGCATATGGATCTTTTAGCTAACCCAGCAGGGAAAAGAAGGGAGTAGTTAATCACTGATTAAAATGCCAGAAGAAAATCCTTAGTTTTTAGAGGGATCTGGGAAAGCAGTAGCAAAACCAACCTCATTTGAGTGACAGTGAGAAAGTATGAGTTAGTTTAATTCAGGGCACCTGAGAGAACCAAACACCAATTTCTACCCCCTGCCTCAAACCCCAAACCATGTCTTTATTCCACATTTTTTCCCAAGGAAAAATATTTCTAAAATATTTCTGGGCTTTTCTGGATAGAGATGAGATTAAAGTTATAACTCAGGCATTTGTGTTCATAAAATTCATTTGGATAATAGCTATGTTGTGTTTATCATAGCCAAATCTCAACACACAAAAATTGTTGTACACCAAAGATTATGTGCCTAATAATAACACTGCAAGTTAAAAAAAAGACTTTTTACTGAATTTATCAGGGTAGCTGTTAACAGGCAAAGAATGGCAAGCATTTATGTTTTGAGTGAAAGAATTATTGCAAATATAGTGTGCAAAAGTTTTAGTAAATATTCCATTTAAGAATTCCACTAAGTAGGCAAGTATCATTCTGTTTTACCACCAAGATAATGGAAAACAGGAAAGGAAACTACTTGTGGAAATAGCATGAAACTGGGAGTCAGATGATGTGGGATTTGGTGCTAGCTTGCCAAATGTGTTTTGGTGACCAAGTTGCTTAATCTTTCTGGACTTTCTTTTTCTTTTTTTTTTTTAATTTACAAATATGAGGTAGGTTACATCAGATGATCTCAGCCTGGGTCCACAGCCAGGTTAGCCTTGGGATCTGGGAGACTCAAGACTTGTACACAGAACTTTATGCCTATATGCATGTGTGTGTGTGTGTGTGTGTGTGTATGTGTGTGTACACAAATATAACTGCAAAATGGGCCTTTGCCTTTCATCTTCTCAAACACCATCTTTCTCTCACCCCCAAATTAAAGGCTACTGGGTGCATGATTTCACAGAATCCTTATAGCATGAGTAACTTGAGATTCTCAGGGAAGCCCAATGCTGACATAAAGCCACCTAACAGATTTGTATAGTTCAGAAGTAAAAACAGTCGTATAGTTCAAAAGTAAAAATAGAAGTAAAAATTATGAACTCTGCAGTGAAGCAAGAAGCTGGCCATCCTGCAGCTCTCTTCAGGGATTGCTTTTGGGTGTCTCAAGGTCTAGTTGAATATGCTTTAGTGTGTGTCACTGGTCCTTTGACCATGCGCATGTCCTTTGACATGCCTGAGAACATGACATCCCTTTTTGTCAACTTTACTCACCCCCTTTCTCACCTGCTCTTTATACGGTGGCCAAAGCTAGATAGCAGCAATGGTAGGAGGGCTATGGAGAGCATGGCATAGAAAGGGAAAGGGGATGAGGGTAAATGAGACAAGGTCCACAGAAAGAGCAGCTGTCCCAAATTTGCCTACCTGGACAGTACTATACTTGCATGGCAGCATTAGTGTCCAATGTTTAATCAAGCATCTTATGATCTTGTGAATTTTCTGTATAAAGACTCATTATTATATCCTCTGCCTATTATCAAATTTATTTGAGGGGCAGGTCATGTGGCATGGTGGGCTAAGCTTCTAACTGCGGCAGCAGCATCCCATATGGGTGCCAGTTCTAGTCCCAGCTGCTCCTCTTCTGATCCAGCTCTCTGCTATGGCCTGGGAAAGCAGTAGAAGATGGCCCAAGTGCTTGGGCCCCTGTACCCGTGGGGGAGACCCAGAAGAAGCTCCTGGCTCCTGGCTTCAGATTGGCTCAGCTCTGGCTGTTGCCACCATTTGGGGAGTGAACCGGCAGATAGATGAAAGACCTTTCTCTGTGTCTCTCCCTCTCTGTGTCTGTAACCTTACCTTTCAAATAAATAAAATCTTAAAAAAAAATTTGAAACAACCCATCTGGAATAATGCAGGTTATTTTGAGGAGGATAGCAGTAATGTGAATCAGTAATTAAAAAAATTCTATGTATTTATTTTCATTTTATTTGAGAGAGGGAGAGGGAGAGGAAGAGAGGGAGAGGGAGAGGAAGAGAGAGCGCGAGAGAGAAATTGATTTTTCATTCGCTGATTCATACCCTGCGCACCTGCAACGGTCAATGTTGGGCCAGGATGAAGACAGGAGCTAGCTGGGAATACAATCCAAGTCTTTCACATGGGTGGCAGGGACCCAGGTACTTGAGTCATCACTTGCTGCTTCCCAGGACGGGCATTAACAGCAATCTAGATCAGAAGTAGAGCAGCTGGACTCAAACCAAGCTATCTGATATGGAATATAGGTGTCTCATGTGGTAAGTTGATCTGTATGCCAAGTGTCGCTCCCCGTCTTTGTGGAGGAACGACACAGGACCCTGCGCTGTT